AAATGATTCGAACTTAAGGGGGTTGTAGCTCCTTGTTCCTCAACAAGGTTCTAGCCCCTTGTTCACAGTTGTCGCCCCTTGTTCGCGAGAAGCTGGCAAAAAAAAGAGCTACCAAGCTGATATCTCATCATGGAGTTGCACCACGAGGAGGAGGGCTTCACACAAGGTCTGATGAACTTTCTTGGAAGTGCGGAGGCGAGTACGTGAGTTAGGACGTGTCACAAATAACACATCGGAGGGGGATCGTCGACAAACAGTGAAAAACATGGCCGACAACATGGGACATGATATCCCAAATGATCATTATACGGCTAAGTTAGAAATGGTTATGAGATTTTGAGATGCAAATCGAGTGATTTAGTACGGTGGCAGAATCAGTACTGGACGATCTCTTGCCTTACGTGAAGCATCCTGTGTCTGCGAAACTCACGAAACAAGGATACATGAAATCTCGAAGCTACTGTACACTCATACATCGATCCCCCACAAGATCGATGTGTTATTGTGACTCGTTTTTGATCCCACAAGTATCCCACCATGTGTGTGTATATATATTCATATGTATATAGATATATATATGTAACATACTGCTCTGCTCTACATCTTATACCGTATGGTAGGAGATGGCTCAACCTGATCCGCATCTGGCAGGGTAGTGCTCCCTCCGTCAACAAGGAAATGCGAGAGGGGTGTTCGTGGCAAAACGCCATCAAGTCATGGGCGCGAGGGGCGCTCTGCAACGCGCGGCTGGAAGAGCTGATGCAATGTTCTCCTTTTTAACTACGAGACAGACTGACAAACTGCCTTGGACAACTAGAGAGCCCTGAAGAGGAGGCGCCTAGTGAAGAATGTGGTGACCATTGCGGAGAGGATTCTGGTGGGGAGGAGTTAGATGAAAGAGGGAGACGAGCAAGAGGTTGTAGACAAGGATGAAGGTGAAGACAACCCTTTCTTGTGTGACGATGCGGATATAAAGAGACTTACCGTACCAATAGACAAGCCCGTGTTGTGAGAACGTTTTGTATATATTTCTGCAATGTGCACGTTAATGATTTTCCCTAGTAGAGATTGAGCTTTGAAATTGTGCTCTGGAAAATAGCAGGTCTATTGCGGTATGAACTTCCCAAGTCTGAAGCTTCAGACCATCCAAGTTCCGGAGACTGAGCAATGAGAGTGGCCATTATTTGAGGATTTCACACTGCCAACATTTGAAACGTTATATTAAGATAGGTAGGAAGGAATGGGGTAGATTAGGTCAAGGGAGGGGTACAAGGCAAGAGTCAAGAGAAATGTTGTACCCCTAAAGGGCAACTCAATACAGGCTAAACATATATATGAAATATAACGTTGACTCACCCCCATAGCCTGAGTGAGATGCATCAAAACGACAAGAGAACACAAGGCCAGTTAACATGCGGAGTTTATCATAGCAATTGCAGTACAGTGATCACAACCTAGCAAGTGTAAACATGCAGGTATAAGCATATAGATCAGAGTACAACAAGTGCAAGGCAAGATCAAGGCGAAGCTGACCACGCTGCTACAACTCTCGTACGAAGATGTAACAAAGAGCAATGTGCTTCGTTCTGTGCTCTAGTCTCTGGTCATGGCACAAGGCTATCATGACCTTGTTGTCGTTGTACATAAATGAAGGAGAACGAGGCCCCTGACCCAAGTCAGTCAGCAGGTAGGTCAGCCAGCAGAGCTCCTGTGTAGCCATAGCCTCAGCGTAGATCTCGGCCTTACAGCTGGAACTAGGAACACAAGACGAGCCAGTGAACCTCCATGAGACAGAACCAGTGCCAAGGCTGAAAATGTAACCCCATGTTCACCGGTGAGTCGTCTGGTCGTCAGCCCAAGAAGCGTCTGAGTGACTCGTGAGAACAACTCGACCCTGTCCTCCAAACACATGCCCCATGCATTATGTACTGCACAAGTAACGCAATACCCTCTGTGCAGCTATCCAGTGCTCCTTCTGGCGTCTATCGGGCGCAACGTAGCAAGCAAGGAGGCTGAGAGGGTACACGAGGTCAGGTCCTGCGCACGTCATCAAGTACATGAGGCAACCAACAAGCTCTGGATACTGACCACTCAGCTCTACGGACTCGTCCGAAGGTGGAGCTAGGAGCAAATGGCGTGTAGGCAGAGGAGTGGGCTGTGGCGAGGAGAACCGGAAGCCGAAGCGCTGAAGGACCTGCTGCACCATATGTGACTGAGTCAGGGTGATGGTGCGCCGTGCTCTGTCCCGGGTGATCTGCAAGCCAAGATAGCTGCGCAGCTCACCCAGGTCAGTGTAGGTGTGACTCTTCTGCAGCTCCGCCTTCACTAGGGCCAGTGCCTCAGTGTCAGCAGTAGCAAAAACCAAGTTGCCGACGTACACGAGGACATAGAACGCCAAGGCGTAGTCAAGGAGGGAGGACAACCAGAGTCCAACACAGGACTCGCAGCGTAGTCAAGGTGGCACAGGGCAGCAAAGTCAGCGAGCTCGGCGACTAAGGCAGACGCAGCAGTAAACTCAAAAGTAGGGTCTGTGACAAATGTGGCCAGTAGTACTAGCAGCACGACCTAGGCCAGACTCAGGGTCAGGAACATCAGGAAGAGAGGACACTGGGCGAGACGGCAGGGCAACACGCTGTGCAATGGAGGAAGGACAAAGTGCCATAGTTTGAGTGCCTGGAACAGGTGGAGGACAGGGACGGGCAGCACAACGAGTGCGAACAGGTGTGGAAGCACGAGACGCAGGCTCTGGACTCTCTATCAGGGACTCCGTCACCCTAGTGTAATATGTAGGAGAATGTAGTAGGGAGTCTAGCAATACCTATGTCTGAGACTGGTCAATCGGTGGGAACTGTAACAGAGGAGTAGTACCAACAACAGGGAACTCAGCAACAGCAGGTGGGAGACTAAGGAGGTGACGAAGTGCAGACGGCTGCTGCTGAGTAGTCGCACCCCCAGAACCTCTAGCTCCGGTACGAGAACCTCCAGCACCAGTACCTCCAGCACCAGGACCTTCGGCTCCAGCAGTAACAGCACCCCCAGCTCCACCACCGGGGCTGCCCCACTGGACAGCCCACTCGTGAAGTCGCTGCGGCGAGAGAGTCTCCTGCCTACTAGCACCAGAACGTCCAGCACCAGCACCTCCTGTACCTCCAACTCCAGTACCTCCAAGTGTAGCACCTCCAATGTCAGTACCTCCAATACCTCCAACTCCAGTATGTCCAGCACCAGCACCTCCAATACCAGCACCTCCAGCAACAGTACCTCCAGCTCCACGACCTCCAGGACCAGCACCTCCAGCTCAACCACCGGGGCTGCCCCACCGGACAGACCACGCATGAAGCTGCTGCGGCAAGAGAGTCTTCTATCAATATGGCTGCCGCTGCTGTCCACCCCTAGAACTTCTGCGGCCACCAGCGGCACCACCAGCAGGTGTAGACGTACAGGTACCTACACTCACCTCCTTAACCAGCTGCAATACCCCCCTTAACAACGGACGGCTCTGCCGCAGTGGCCGGGTGGCAGGAGAGAGTGAAGAGTAGTGCCAAACCACAACGTCGTAGAAAGTGTGGGCCGATGTCACCTGACAAAAGTGGGTCCTGCCGCTGCACAGTCTTGCCAGCGTCAGCAGCAGGCTCAGTGGGAGTGGTGGGAGCTTGAAGGGACTCCGACGTGTGCTCGAGCAGGGAGACACCATCTCTAACTAAACGCCGGAGATACCCGTGTAGGCACGCAAGCCACAAATCGAACTTGTGAGGGCGGCCGTCTATGTCAGCCGCTAAAACAGAAATAGGGGCCATGACGGGCAGCGGCGGAAGGGTGGCAGCAGTGGTAAGGGCGGCTGCAGCAGTGGCGGCGGCCGGCAGCAGCAGCGGCAGAGGCTGGCAGCAGTGGCAGCAGCAGCATGCAGTAGCTGCGGCTTGGCAGTGCTGGGCAGTGTGCAGGGCAGTGCCAGCGGCGTCCAGGCAGGGCAGGGCAGTGCTGGGCAGCGGGCAAGGCAGTGCTGGCGGCGGCCAGGCAGGGCAGGGCAGCGCTGGCAGCGCGTGCAGGCAGGGCAGCAGTGTCGGCGGCCGGCAGCAGCAGCGGCAGCGGCTGGCAGCAGTGACGGCAGGAGCAGGCAGTAGCTGCGGCTTGGCAGGGCAGCAGCACAAGGCAGGGCAGTTGCGCGCAGGCAGGGCAGGCCCGCTGGGCAGAGCAGTCACGCGTGCAGGGCAGCAGCGTGGGCAGGGCAGGGCAGTCACGCGTGCAGGGCAGCAGCTCAGGCAGGGCAGGGCAGTCACGCGTCAAGGGCAGCAGCGTGGGGAGGGCAGGGCAGTCACGCGTGCAGGGCAGCAGCGCGGGAAGGGCAGGGGGTTATAAACACATTTGTCTGACAACCGAATTTGTCAAAACACATTTTCAATTTTAAGAATAGGATGCACTTATAATAAATCAAGGTTTTACAGGGGGTGCGCTTATAATTGAGGATCGGCCATAAGCGCATTGCTCCAAATATAAGCGCATGCGCTTAACATAGGCCTGCGCTTATATACGGGGTGATACGGTAACTGCTCTTAATACCATGTTAAGTTAGGTAGGAAGGAATGGAGTAGATTAGGTCAAGGGAGGGAAACAAGGCAAGCGTCGAGAGAAATGTTGTACCCCTAAGGGGCAACTCACTAGAGGCTAAACATATATATGAAATATAACTTTGACACATTAGACATCGCCTAAACTCGGTAAAAACGGCTGACATACCAACCAAGGTACACAAAAAACCCAGAAAAACAATGCCAAGGTTAATTGGAAACAAATCTGCATTCACCCATGTTAAATAGAAGGCAATTTTTACATAGGATTAGCATAAAAAGGATGATATATGAGCGACTGGTACAAATGATTTTATGGGCATTTCAAAGTTTGGAGTCTTTTTCCATCCTTTCGCCCCCTCCTCCTACCCTTGCAACCTGATATTGTTTGTACGGAAGGCCAAGTGCATTAGGAAGACGCTATAAAACCATGGCTCAGACAGTATCAGAGGAATCGCATTGCATGGAAATCTGGTGAGCACGGGCAATGGAAGCGTTGAAGTCGAGATCGCTGGACGTGTTTATCTCGCAGTCGATGCACGATGCCACCTTGTCCACCTCCTCGCCCACTATCTCCCCCCTCACTGCCACCAGCTCCCCCAGCACCTTGCTCATGGAGGGGGGCGAGGCCGTGGGCATGGCGGTGCAGAAGAGAGCCAGGCGGGCGAGGCGCAGCAGAATGTCATACAAGGCGTCCAAAGAAGGGTCTCTCAAGGCTGTGACTGGATTGGATGCCACCAGTGGCTCCACCTGCATGCATGGGAGAAGGGAGTCTATGCGAATGCAGCTGCAATGCTGTGTACGGGCTGTGGTGGTAAGACCAGACAGTCTCACAAATCTGGCCTCAGATTGTGCATTGCTCCCCTCGTGCCTCACCTAGTGCTCCCCTCGTGCCTCATGCCTCACCCATTGCTCCCCTCGTGCCTCACCCATTGCTTGAGGTTCACATGGCCATCCTCTGCCTCTTGCACTGCCTTGCGCCCCGTGATCACCACCAGCATCACCACCCCAAAGCTGCCATCACAAAGCAAACAAAAACAGAACTTAAAAAAACCGTTTCTGTAGTGAAGATGATGACAAGGCACGGAAAATCCGCTTTGCAATTGGTCTCCTAGTCACGTTTCACTGCCCTCTCACATGCTCTACAATCCGCAATGTAGCCCATTGCAACAGCGCACATCAGTTATGTGTCTTCAACCATTCCATGAGCCATAGGGGTTGCCTCCCCTCACCTGTACACATCGGCCGTGGGGGTGGCCTTGTGTGACTTGCAGTAGGCGGGGTCCACAAAACCCGATGTGCCCATCACTCGTGTGGCTGCCACGGTTGTGCCCGCCGCCGTGCCGCCACTCAGCTTCACCAGCCCGAAATCCGCAATCTTCGCCTGCCCCTACACCACAATGGCAGGAGAAGCAGTGGCATATTCAAGAGTGAATGACTGAACGTAGCAATAAGGCAGGGTGGAACGAAATGCCGTCACTCACACCACCAAGGCAGCAGCAACAATAATGGCATACAAAATCCGAAGGGCTTGGTGTCCGGAGTGGCAGCACAGTGACAGCACCATATTGTGGTTCAAGGTTGCGGAGAGGAATAAAAGTGGGTGCAACGAAGTGCGAGTGATAATGATAGAACGGCAACACAGAGTGTGGAGGGGTTTGCGCTGAGCAAGGATTGCGGTGAATAGGGATTGGCCGGAGCAGGATTGTCGAGAGCAGGGATGGCTGTGAGCATGCCTGCATGGTGGCGCTGAGGAGGATGTTGGTGGGCTTCATGTCGCGATGCACCATGCCAAAGTCATGCAGGTACTGCAGCCCCTTGGCCACGCCGATCAGAATGTCCACTCGCTGGCGCAGGGAGAGAGGGGTGGCGGCACCGGGTGCGATCCAGGTGTCGAGGTCGTGGTTGGGCATGAACTCGTACACTAGTATTTGCTCCATGGTGCGTGTTGCCGGGTCGAACGCGATGCAGTAGCCCAGCAGCCGCACCAGGTTGGGGTGTTGCTTCGATGCCATCTCCCTCACCTGCCAGGGAGGAGGGAAGAATCCAGCAAGTGGGATGAGCACACTAGAAGCACACTAGTCACCTCTCTCTGAAAGTTATTGGTGAGCACTCGAGGGGGGAGGGAACAAAATGAAAAGTGGATGGTGAAGGCGACAGAGAAATTCCACGGAGGTTGCAACAAGCACACATGGAGCACATCAGAAGCACACGTGGAGCACATCAGAAGCACACGGTTCACCTCCCTCTGGAAGCACACGTGGAGCATACGAAGAGCACATGGGAGAGCACACGGGAGAGCACACGGGAGAGCACACGAGTGAGCAGACAGGAGAGCAGACAGGAGAGCACACGGGGAGAATACGAGGAGCACACAGAGAGCACACAGCAAGCACACAGGGAGCACACAGAGAGCACATAGGGAGCACAGGGGTCACCTCTTGCTGGAAGTCGTTGGTGAGCACTCGAGCGCGCTTCACCGCCCACACATCGCTCCCTCCATACGGGTTCACGCCTCTGTACACATCGCCAAAGCTGCCGCTGCCAATCCTATTGCGCTCCGCCCTTTCCCCCGTGGCTGGTGCCATGTCCTCCAGGGAATACTCCCCACACACATCTGCTCACGCGGCCTTGTCCTCCATGATCAACCCTTCCTTCCCACTCCCTACTGCTGCTGTTGCTGCTGCTGCTGCAGCAAATGCTGCTTCTGTGTTCTCTAGAACCACGGCTGTTGATTGTTTCAGGGGATGTGTGGGACAACGTGAAAAAATATATGTAAGGTCAGCGTAAGAAGGACTAGATGGATAGCAAAGCAAGAACTCAAGTGTGAGTAGTTGTTGGGATTAGTAAGACAAACAAATGGCTATGTTATAGAGAGAGGAGAAAGAGAGAGGAGATGGTGAATCTAGGAAGAGAGTCGCACCCTTGATGTCCTCCATGGTTGGAGCGGCAACCTCTGAGAGTGCCTTCGTGTGTTTGTGCATCAGCGATCACAAAACAAACAAAAGCAAGTGCTAAGAGATCTTTAGACAGGTGAGCGGGAGGAGATGATGGGCGCATTGAACGGACGGGAGATGGAGGGAAGGGAAGGGATGGTTGGAATTGTGGAAATATGAGATGGGTGAAGTCGTTGGGAAGCATAAAATGCGAGACAGGGAAGGAAACCGGGGATTGATAAGAAAGGGGCTGTGAGGGAGGGAGTGCAAGATAAAGAAATGGAAGCGAAAGGGCAAGGAGGAGAGGAGATGACGGAGCTAGGAAGGGAGTCGCACCCTGGCAGTCCTCTTCAGATGCAGGGGCAGCCTTCGAAAGTCCCTTTCCCTGGCTGTGCCTCCAACATAGCAATGCACCAATCAGCACTGCCAGCAGGAGGGCAGCCACAGCTGCAACAGCAATGCCGGCAATGGCTGCTGTGGACAGACCCCCTTGCGATTGTGAGGGTGCAGGTGCAGGGTTGGCTGCTGATGGGGGTGCTGCAGGTACAGATGTGCAGTGGGGAGGTGGAAGGCAGACGTTGCAGGCACAATAGCAGCATCGAGCGAAACAGATGAGTGTAATTGGCCATCCTGAGTAAAACGCGCTCAATTGTGTGTTGTGATGCAAAACACTTGACGTAAAAAAAATCCAAGGCAAGATATTGAAAAAGATGGTCATACCTGCAGATGCTGCCGTACCTGTACGTGCTGCCATACATGCAGGTTTTGCCATAGCCGTAGGTGCTACCATACCTGCAGGTGTTGCCATACCTGGAGGCGGTGCGATGCATGTGGAGCAGAAATATGGGCAAGTCTTGCAGAAGGCACTGTGAAGGTGCTACTGAACCTCACAGCTGGTACCACTTGGCGGGCATGTGAGTGACGTGCCATCCAGCTTCCTGCAGACGAGCAGAACGTTGTGACCAATGCTCATCAATCCTTGGTTACTCATAGTTGGTTACGCTTGCTAAAGCTGAATCACCATGCGTGCTTACACAGTGTGTACTACGAGTGTTGATTGAAGTGTGAAACTTCTCAGCCATGGTAGAGGACGGAGCACAACTGTGCGGGTGCCAACAATTCATAGAGCACAATACATCATACAGCGCAAAGGAGCATACATGGCAAAGAGATTGGTGAGGCTTCCCATGGAAGGAGGGAGGTGCCCACAGAAGTTGGTACCTGAAGTGTGGCTGCAGCAAAAAGAGTGTGTGAGAGAGAAGTGTGTGGGCGAGAAGTGTGTGAGAGAGACATTGTGTGGAAGGGGGAGGCAGGAAAGGAGGGAGAGAGGCCAGCTGTTGCCTTTGGTCTTATTGTCCTCAACTCCATCACGTTGGTCAGCGAGTCTCAAGGGCACCCCACTGCCGTCCTTCAACTTAATCAACATGCTGCCATGATCCGAGCTGGAGCAGTGCTGCCATGATCCGAGCTGGAGCAGTGCTGCCATGATCCGAGCTGGAGCAGTGCTGCCATGATCCAAGGCTCCCTGCCGTGCCAGCCCTCTCCTGCTCACACCCATCTCTTCCTCCTCACACTCTCATCTCACCCACATCAGGTTCGACTTCAAGGAGTTATGTTATCTTGTGCAGGTGAGCAAGGTGGCACGATTGCTGCACAGGTGGGCTCGTTCAAGAACACTTTTGGCAAATTGATGCCAGTTTAGCACCAAGGATATTTTCCAGCCTTAGTCAACAATGGTGTTTGCTCAAGATTGAGATGCCAATTCAATGAAATTCCAGGCTAACTTTGTGACAAACTGAATTGAAAACAAGTAGGCCCCATATATTAGGCCTGTTGTGACAACCGGGCCAGTCATTTGTGAGGTGCCAACACGGTGTGGGTTAAAGTGGGTGCAGGCCTAGCACTGTTGATCATGCCCATGGTGTGCTACACATGTTGGAGCTGACAGGGAAAGCAAGTGCGCGCTTACAGCCCAGTTAAATTTATAAGCTTCCCAATCGAATCTGGAATGGTGCCATTCATTCGAGTTGCAAAGATATCCCTGAAGAGATCAAAGGAAAGGGAAAGAGTAGGCTTAAGTGAGTTTATAGATCAAGGCCAATCACTGCTTGAGAAATTGAGTTGATCCAACTAAAAGCAACATTGACTACAAATTGTAACAAACCTGGAAACATGAGGTAATTGCCAAGTTATATTTTTTAGGATTTCTATTGTCCTTATCAGCAAATCTCTTGATTTTACCTCCAAACTTACCAACACCTAAAACTAAACGTAATAACCCTGAAGCGCGCTCGAGTGCTCACCAACGACTTCCAGCGAGAGGTGACCCTCCTGTGCTTACTTGTGCTCCCTGTGTTCTCGTTGTGTGCTCCCCGTGTTCTCCCTGTGTTGCAATCTACCATGCCTCTCCAAACTGACAACCCCCTACTCTCACCCCACTTGCTGGTTTCTTCCCTCCTCCCTGGCAGGTGAGGGAGATGGCATCGAAGCACCACCCCAACCTGGTGCGGCTGCTGGGCTACTGCATCGCGTTTGACCCGGCAACACGCACCATGGAGCAAATACTCGTGTACGAGTTCATGCCCAACCACGACCTCGACACCTGGATCGCACCCGGTGCCGCCACTCCTCTCTCCCTGCGCCAGCGAGTGGACATCCTGATCGGCGTGGCCAAGGGGCTGCAGTACCTGCATGACTTTGGCATCGTGCATCGCGACATCAAGCCCGCCAACATCCTCCTCAGCTCCGCCATGCAGGCGAGCTTTCTCCTCGCTCCCACTCTCTGTTCTCATGCTATCAACCTCCCTCGCACTTCGTTCCACCCTGCCTTATTGCTACGTTCAGTCATTCATTCTTGAAGATGCCACTGCTTCTCCTGCCATTGTGGTGTGAGTGGCGGCAGGCCAAGATTGCTGATTTCGGGCTGGTGAAGCTGAGTGGCGGCACGGCGGCGGGCACAACCGTGGCAGCCACACGAGTGATGGGCACACCGGGCTATGTGGACCCCGCCTACTGCAAGTCCCACAAGGCCACCCCCATGGCCGATGTGTACAGATGAGGAGAGGCACCCCCTATGGCTCATGGAATGGGTGAAGAAAGATAACTGATGTGAGCCGTTGCAATGGACTACATTGCGGATTGTAGAGCACGTGAGAGGGCAGTGAAACGTGACTAGGAGAGCAAGTGCAATGCGGATTGTCCGTGCCCGGTCATCATCTTCACAAAATCTGTTGTTGTTTGCTTTGTGATGGCAGCTTTGGGGTGGTGATGCTGGTGGTGATCACGGGGCGCAAGGCAGTGCAAGAGGCAGAGGGCGGCCATGTGAACCTCAAGCAATGGGTGAGGGACGAGGGGAGCAACGGGTGAGGGATGAGGGGGGCAATGGGTGAGGCATGAGGGGGGCAATGGGTGAGGCACGATGGGGGCAATGGGTGAGGGATGACAGGGGCAATGGGTGAGCTGAGTGCTGATGCTCTTCATGAGGCTGCCTGATATCCTCAAACTACCACGAACCCTCCACAGCATTGTAGCTGCATCTACGAAGTCTCCCTCTTCCCATGCGTGCAGGTGGAGCCACTGGTGGCATCCAATTCAGTCACGGCCTTCAGAGGCCCTTCCCTTGGACGCCCTGGATGACATTCTGCTCCCTCCTCCCTTCTCCCATGCACGCAGGTGGAGCCACTGGTGGCATCCAATTCAATCGCAGCCTTCAAAGACCCGCGCCTGGACGCCCCGGATGACATTCTGCTGCGCCTCGCCCGCCTGGCTCTCTCCTGCACCGCCATGCCCACGGCCTCGCGCCCCTCCATGGGCAAGGTGCTGGGGGAGCTGGTGGCAGTGAGGGGGGAGATAGTGGGCGAGGAGGTGGACAAGGTGGCATCGCGCATCGACAGCGAGATTGACACGTCCAGCGATCTCGACTTCAATGCTTCCATTGCCCGTGCTCACCAGATTGCCATGCAGAGTGGCTCCTCTGATACTGTGTGAGCTATGCTTTGACACATCACACCTATAAAGATTCCAAGCAGTTTCTCCATTACAGTTAACAACAATCGGAATCTTTGAACAGGCAGGTTTCTTTTTCCAATGACTAGAAATCAATGTCAATTTCTAGCTTTTCCGAGTTCTTGCCACTAGAGGCCTTGGGCACAACCTGTTCAGCATTAGTCAAGAGGGATTTACGGTATATGCATTGAATACGGTAGATGGGCTGGGTAGATGTGCACGGTCGTGTAAAATAAAACTAAATTTCATATACCGTATTACCCCAGATTGTAGCGCATATGCGCTTATAATAAAATCAACCTTTTTAGGGGGGGCGCTTGTAAATGAGTACAGTGCATAGGCGCATGCACTTATATATAGGAAAAAATGAAATTTGTTTTAAAGGGTACCAAATCGAAGCCCACATTAAGGCGAACACGAATGTGAAACGTTCTTGTGGGTTGGTGCATGAAAAACAAGCGAAAACAGCAGCGACTCGATTTCCCACCGCACAAAACCCTACCCGAAGCAACGCATCCGCCAGGGCTGACGCGTAACCTGCCGTGCGGCCCAATCACCTTCGCATGCGTTGCCAACCAAGAGTATCTCGTCCGACCCTTCTAGAAAGGGCACGAATATGCCCTGCCAGCGCAGCATGTGAGGTGCCGCGAACCCTCCGCTGCGGGTTCAGGCAGGGGGTCACCGTCTCACATCGACGAGGACCCCGAGCCGCTCCCTCGAAGGGGTCCCCTCAGAAGTCTATTTCCCTTCTCCCGTTCTTGCACTTTCTGATTCGTTTTCCTGTTTTGCCCACCAAGCTGCGGAAGCCATGGCGGAATTCTCTGGCACCCACTTTCTCTTCAAGAAGATGCGTAGACCCGCCTATTGAGTTACCGAGGACGGCTGGTATTGCTGTGTCCCACCAGAGCCCCCAGTGCCACCACAACCTCCCGAGTCACCTGCGCCGCCATCTCCTCCAGCACCTCCTACGCCGCCTGCTCCTCCTGCTCCTCCGAATCCCCCCGTGCTCAGGCTCCTGAACCCGTCGGCGTTCGACGAGTACCTCTCTGAATCTGAACGCAACAAGACCCCAGATGAGTATGTAGAAGTGCCGGCGCCAGCACCACGCTGGGGCGGGCCAGAAGGGTGCACGTGGGACGAATCTGCTGTGGGCACTGACGACGACGTGGCGGACTCCGAAGAGGAGTGTCCCGCTAGCACGGAGGCTGGCACCACGGAAGATGTCTTTCCCGAGGGCACCCCGGGCGGCGACGACGACGACGTAGAGTATTGGTTGCACGACGGTCTTCCCGAAAAACTACCGATTCCGTCGTTTCCGCCTATTAATCGCAAGCGTCCCCACCCTGCTTCTGAGAACCGCGATGCCCACCCCCCCTCTCCCAGGCACAAGCCCTCTCTGCATAAGCGTAACGCTTATACTGCGTAGGAGAAGCTCAAGTGGATTGGACGCATGGATGTGGCGGTGTCGGTGCGAGCGTTGTCTCGCGAATCGGGAATCCACCGCAAGTGCCTCACGGAGTGGAAGAGAGCCGCCGCGATGCTCAAGGAAGCACACTCCGCACGGAAGCGTATGCACGGTCGCGGGAGCGCCTCCTGGTACAGGCCGATGGAGCTGAAGGTTTATGCCAAGCTACTCGAGTGGCGCCGCAAGGGACATGCCGTCTCCGTCGGGCGTCTGCAGGAGTGGTCAAAGGAATTCATGAAGGTGCTTTTCCCCGACATGAAATGGAAGGGGAGCCAACGGTGGTCGGAGCGGTTTCGGAAGAGGTGGAATCTGAGCTTGCGCATGAAGACGAAGATCGCCCAGAAAACCGCCGCCCGTAAGAACAATTTCGCCATGTTTGCATGTTGTTTTGTTCTTCGGTGCCGGTTGTTTACTAACACACCCGTCCCCATCTACATCTCCATGTATCGCATATGTTGCGGAGCAGTGCCAGAACTTCTGTGACAAGCGACGTGAGCGCGGCATCGAAACCCGCTGGACTATGAACGCCGACCAGACGCCGCTTTGGCTGGAGATGCCCGCCACCACCACTGTGGACCAGACAGGAGTGCGCTCGGTGCCCATCAGGAGCGCGGGGTACCAGAAGGAACGCTTGACCGTTATGCTGGCGTGCACGGCCGACGGGGAGAAACTGAAGCCATGGGTTTTCTTCAAGCGGAAGACGGTGCCGAAGGGTGGTTTCCCGCCAGGTAAGAGAAGATGATGGTTGCGCATGTTTGTGTTGTCACTAACGGAGATTTGCATACTTGCTTGTGATATCGCAGATGTGGTGGTGGCGGTGCACCCGAACGGCTGGATGGACGCCCCCGACATCATTCGCTGGCTTGAGGAGTGCGTCAAGCCCTTCATACGGCCCCGGTTCGGTAGGCAGGCGAAGAGCGCGATGGTCGTTCTGGACTCATACCGTGGTCACCTCACAGACGAGGTGAAAGAGAAGTTCATCGATCTCGACATCGTTCCAGCGGTCATCCCGTCTGACTGTACGGCGGAGGTGCAGCCGCTCGACGTCTCGGTCAACAAATCATTCAAGGCGTCGATCCGCCAATAGTACCAAAACTGGTTTGAAGAGGAGGGCATCGAGCGGCTGACGCCTGCAAGTAAGACACCCACCGTTGATCAGTTGTGCCTTGCTTTTTATTTCAACTCTGTTGTTGTCTTAAAAGTTTCTGCCCTACTCTGGCTTGTTGTGCCGGGAAACCTCAAGACCCGCCCCCTGCGGTGGTGCTCAGGTGGATCTTGCGGGCCTGGAAGGCCGTGCCACCCGAGCTCATCAAGAAGGCCTTCCTCACCTGCGGCATCAGCAACGCGCTTGACGGTAGTGAGGACGGGCTCGCCATGGCGCACAGGCGGGGCTAGCTGACCCACGAGGTGGACGTCGATGATGGTATCAGCCACTGAATTCTTTGGCAACAACTGCGAGGAGCCCGAATCTGACGACGAGTTGTCAAACTTATATTTGTTATGGTATATTTAGGCTGTAGTGGGGTAGCTCTTAGAGGGTACAACACATATGTGTTTCCTATTTGTACCCATCTCATTTCTAGTTCATTCATTCTTTCGTCTATCTTTCTCACATGGTATAGAGCTAGTTTCGAGAATTTTTAAAAAGGGCCCACCACTAAATTTTTTACTGCCTACTTGACGCGCGCGTCGCGCTTTCCCTTCGAGGCCCGTCGCGGCCCCTGCGCCTGCCCTCAGAGCTAGCGCCCGCCACGTAAGGCCCCGTAAGGCCCCGTTATGCCCCGTAAGGCCCCGTAAGGCCCCGTTAGAGGCCCCTTAAGGCCCCGTCAGGCCCCGTTAGAGGCCCCGTAAGGCCCCGTCAGGCCCCGTTTGGCCCCGTTTAAGGCCCCGTAAGGCCCCTTTTGGCCCCGTTAGAGGCCTCGTACGGCCCCGTCAGGCCCCGTTAGAGGCCCCGTACGGCCCCGTCAGGCCCCGTTAGAGGCCCCGTAAGGCCCCGTCAGGCACCGTTTGGCCCCGTTTAAGGCCCCGTAAGGCCACTTTCGGCCCCGTTAGAGGCCTCGTAAGGCCCCGTCAGGCCCCGTTAGAGGCCCCGTACGGCCCCGTCAGGCCCCGTTAGAGGCCCCGTAAGGCCCCGTCAGGCCCCGTTTGGCCCCATTTAAGGCCCCGTAAGGCCCCTTCCAGCCCCGTTAGAGGCCCCGTAAGGCCCCGTCAGGCCCCGTTAGAGGCCCCGTACGGCCCCGTCAGGCTCCGTTAGAGGCCCCGTGAGGCCCCGTCAGGCCCCGTTTGGCCCCGTTTAAGGCCCCGTAGGCCCCATCAAGCCCCGTTAGAGGCCCCGTCGGCCCCGTCAGGCCCCGTTAGAGGCTCCGCACGGCCCCGTCAGGCCCCGTTAAAGGCCCCCTTCTGGGCCAGCCGGCCCTACTACGGCTCTGTCGCAGCTCTGCCCCGGCCCTGCTCCTGCACTGCCGCGGCCCGGCCCCGACCCCGCCCCGGCCCTGTCGCGGCCCTGCCCAGGCCCTGCCCCGGCCCTGCCCCGGCCCTGCCCCGGCCCTGCATCCTACCTCTGCCCTGCCTCGGCCCTGCCCCGGCCCTGCCCCCTGCCCAGGCCCTGCCCCGGCTCTGCCTCGGCCCTGCATCCTGCCTCGGCCCTGCCCCGGACCTGCCCCCTGCCCCGGCCCTGCCCCGGCTCTGCCCCGGCCCTGCCCCGGCCCTGCCCCCCCTGCCCCGGCCCTGCCCCGGCTCTGCCTCGGCCCTGCCCCGGACCTACCCCTGCCCTGTCACTGGTAAGAGAGCCGCGCTGCCGAGCCGCGCCGCCCTGCCTAGCCTGCCCTGCCGAGTTGCACTGCTGCTGCTGCTAGCCTACTGCTGCTCCTGTCATGGCTAGTCTCAATGTTCTTACCTTTGATGCTGAGGGTCGAGCTGTTGACTTTGAGGTCTGGCTAGATGATCTGCAGCTTTTCCTACAGTGCGATAGCAAGGATGGTCTCTCACTGTTCGATCTCACGTCTGGCGCCTCTACTGCCCCTACTGCTGATGCTGACAGTACTGTTCGCTCGCAGTGGCTCACGCGCGATGCTGCTGCTCGTCTTGCTGTGCGCAATCACCTGCCGTCTACTGAGCGCGCGCACTTTAGTCAGTACAAGAGTGCTAGGGCTCTGTACGACGCTGTAGTTGCACGCTACTCCTCCCCTACCACTGCTGCCCTCAGCCGCCTCATGCTGCCGTACCTTTTCCCTGACCTTGCCGCCTTTGCCACAGTTGCTGACCTAGTTGCTCACCTCCGCACTAGTGACGCTCGCTACCGCGCTGCCCTTCCCACTGAGTTTCTTTCCACGAACTCCCCCCCCATGTACATCACCCTTTACTACCTAGTCACCCGCCTCCCTGACTCTCTCTCCTCAGTCAGGGATCACTTTCTCTCCCTTTGCCCTACCGAGCTGACTGTCGACTTGCTAGAGGAGCGCCTAGCTGCAGCTGAGAAGAGTATCTTAGCTGTTGGGGCTTCTCGCGGCGACCGTCG